TCCCCCCGTACCCTATTTTTAGAACAAAAAGGAGGACAAGGCCGGGCAAATCCGGACGAATGGTAACCCTAACCTAATGCATTTTTTAAGGGCTGGCACAGTTGTCTTAACTATGGTTCTGTACACTGCCTTGTGACATAGTGTGGCAGTGCCTGTACCTGGTGTAAAATAATGCTTATACTGCACTGCATCAGCACTGAAAAATGCATACACATATCTTGTATTTATATCCTGAATTAATAACTCTGAGAGGTGTGAACTTACACTTATTCATTTCAATAGGCTGTTTTAACTCTGAAACCTAAAGATGATACATGTCAACACTTAACTATCTCACTGCTAATCTTTTAGGCAGAAGCATCCAGCTAACTTACTTATTCCAAACCTTTGTTCTAAATGTTAAATCTTTGTTTCCAAAAGAGCTGACTTCCCTGTACCCAGCTACCCAAACTTTCAGCTTCTCCCTTGGCAACTTCTACAATGTGGCTGGACATTTTCAGTACCAAAATCTGTAGTGCACTTAAATGTCAGGACAGTGTAAAACACATGGAATTTAATATGACACAGTTGTGATACTGTCTTAATCATATTATTCATTTTCATACTTAACTTATAAAACCTCCATATTTTTAACTGAAATATAGTGGATGCAGAATCTCCAGTCTACCACCCCAAAGCCCCATTGAGCATCTGTGTAGAATTTAGGCTCATCTTGCAGCAGATTAACTGGGGTTTTGCATCATTTAAAGGTGCAGTGCCAAGAAAAAAAATGAACTGGAACATCACTGCTGCGTGTGCCACAGAGCTCTTATCAGTTAGAGCTCTTATCCAAACTGTATTGAACCTGTACAAAGGATCTGGGTGAAGCTTTGGACAGAGGCGTATAGACTTTAAGTTCTTTGGGGTGATGACTATTTATTAGTGTCTCGTATAGCACTGAGAACATTCTTGGTGCTTAACAAGAATGAGGTTCAAGTCTTGTTATTTTCTTTAAAATGATTCACCAATCTGTAGTCATAACACAGTGTTCTGATACCCTAGTAGTGAACGGCATCTCTGTGGGAAAAAATGCAGTGGTGAGGGGGGTCACAGTAACCATGCCTAAGTCAGTCAGGTTCTTTAGTTGTCATAGATTCTGGGGCTTCCTTGAAGTCTGAGACAAGCTCCTGAGGACAAACAAGTCTTAAAGCAGTAGGTCATAACCTGGCAGATGGATACGAAGGGTGGGGGTGGGGAGGTGAAGTCATCCTAAAACTGGACTAGTTTGGTAGGGAAAAAATGTGCCTGTCACCCATGAAAAGGTTAATTTGAAAGCTGCTAGAAATGGGTTCATGTCTTCAGGGAATGACCAGTCAATGGGAATTTGTTGTGTTGGTGCAGTGTTTCTAAACTGGATTTTCACTGGCTTACTATATTGTCTTCATGTCTCCAAATACTACAGGAGGAGACAGGTAGGAGGTGGAGTAGAGAGGCTTCAAAAGTTTTGGCTAAGTCGTGTACGAATTTTTGAGAGTTTATCCAAATTCCACCTAACTTCTGACCCTTCTGCAGTTTACCCAGGGCTACTTAATCATCTCTTGGAAGATGACAGTTGGGAGGGAAGTGCTTCTACATTTTAAACTTGGTCTAGCAGTTGCACCTGGCTGTGTGGAGTAAAACCTTCAGGCCTCCTTTTGTTACATCATTGGTTCTCAACCCACTTTTGCAATCCCCTTATTTTGTTCCTTGCAATGGGTGTTTGGGTAGCCTTCACTTCCTCCCCATCATGTCCTCACGCCCAGAAACGTTACAGATGACATTGTCTCTTCATCTTCTTTCTCCCTGTATGTTTGTTTGTTTCTTCTATTCTCTGTGTCTTCCCCTCCATACTGCCTGGGATGGGCATAGGGATGCACTAGTGGCTCCAGATTGAAGTGACTCTCACAGAAGTATTTAGGCACTTGTGCTCTCACAGCAGAGCTACATTAAATGGGAGGAGAGAAGAGATGCTTGGGCCATTGGGCTGCTGGCTTGTACCTGGGCTGGCTGCCATTAGGTACTGCTGCAGGGGCAGGATGGGAAGGTGGGCTGCTTTCAAAGAGCTATCTGCCACTTGTCCTAAGTGTACACTTGTGGGAGGGGCGACGTAGGGGGTATGTAGGTTTCCTTGCTCCCCTCCTGTGCCCTACACCCTTCCTTCTCTTCACCAGTCTTCAGAACTATTTTGTTTCCTAATGCTATCTTGGAAAACACCTATCTTAAGGCATTTCATACTGTGCATGCTTGTTTAGGCTCAGCAGTTACGAATCAACTCTTTGCTTTTGTTACAGGCTGAACCCTTGGATTTGAAGGAAGGAGGCCCAGTTTATGCCAGTGAAATCACAACCTTGATACCTTCCTTAGTTTGACCTTCAAGAGGAGAAGACTTCTGGCCCCCTTGACACCTTTCAGTCCATCTGAATCTATGACTGGGGGTTCCACCCTAGCCCCCCCACCCTTTGCTGTCCCATTCCAGAAAATGGGTTCATTTCGAAGGCCCAGGCCTCGCTTCATGAGCTCTCCGGTGCTCAGTGACTTGCCACGTTTTCAAGCAGCACGACAGGCTTTGCAGCTTAGCTCCAACTCTGCGTGGAACAGGTGAGGCCCTGCCAGTACCAGGCCTGAGGTAGCTCTGTTTGTAAAGATCTCTAGATTTTGACCTCAGGCAACTGATCCAAGATATTTCAGAGTTTTTTCAGCTTAATCAGTCTGCTAGTGAGGATGAATGAATTTTGGGTGCTCCTCAGATTTTGTCTGACTGGGGAACTGACTCATTGTTGATACAGGTTGGTTCTAACAATCTGCAATTGTCCTTTCTTTAATGGTGTTGAGAGACTGTGTTCATCTCCACTAACAATTAAACCATTTTACACACTGGTGCTGTCTACAGAACTCGCTCCAATGTGGACAAGAACCCACACATATTTCAGATGCACTGGTTTAGTTAGTCATCTACCCCAGGAACAACACTGGATGCTTTGGGTTAGGTGCTGCAGGAATCCAGAAGCACTGGTACAGCCATGATTGTAAGACGTATAGTATGTGGCCACAGCCCAGAACTTTTGTGCATTTTGTTTAATGGTTTTCCCTTTAATCACTGTAGATACATTTGTCTCCCCTGAAGAACACAGACAAACAAGAGCAGTGATTTCCAGGGGAGAAAAAGTGGAAGTATATAAGTGCAGTTAAACTCCCCACCCCATTATGTCCACTCAGCTGTTGGCAGCTAGCTCACATTGCTCGGTGTGTTAAATCATCCTGACGTGTGTTATTTATGGATGGTGTACTGTCTTATTTCTCTTTGGCAGTGTTCAAACAGCAGTGATAAATGTGTTCAAAGGGGGAGGCTTGCAAAACAATGAACTTTACACCCTCAACGAAAACATCAGGTATGTTGCCAAGTTGTGTGCAGAGCGCCCTTTTGGTGTCAACCAGGTGGTGAGGTGGGGTGGAGTTTTCTGGGGGAAGGGGAAAGGCTGTGTTCAACTTCCTCTTCTTTTGCTATTGGGGGGTGGAAGATTTGTATCTCAGGTTTGGAATCTGCTGTTCTGGCGTGTATGGATGCACGTAGCTTTGATCAGAGCAAGTTTTGCGTTGATTTGGGTAGAGGGGTATTTTTTTCCCTTCTTTGGGATTTTATCTTCTTTGTTAGATACTAAAGCAGTGTTGCCAACTCTTACAATTTTGTCATTAGCCACATGATATTTGGTGTTTTCCCTAAAGCTCCAGCTCCCAGAGTCATGTGATTATGGAAGACTCTCTGCTTTCTTGTAATAAATAAATAAATAAGCTACTAGCCCTCGTGGTAGTGAAGAAAAGCTTGAAAATGTGAACCCTAATGGTTCAAAACTAGAAGATTCTTTTTATTTGCCTAACATTAGTTATTTTTACAAGCTCATAATTTTTAGGCAAATCTCATGGATGTTTGAATGCTTACGGTTGTCAGGGTTGATTCAACTAAGACCTCCTAGTCAAGGGTGACTTAAAAACCCACTCTACGTTAGGCGACTTGAATCTTGGCTGAAAACGAACTTCAGCAACATGTCTGCAAAATGGTTTACTTTCTTATGGAGACCAGACCGAACTATTTTCAGTATAGTTGAGACACTGAGACTGAATCTTGGTTCTACTTTGATTCTGTGGTAGAATCCATTCACCCTTTCACTTGCTGGCCTTTCCTACATTGAGAAATTTTCTTATTTCAAAACCTGCTGAATGCAGCTTCAAAACCAGTTCAGTGAAAAAGGCCCTGTCTGCTTGAATCCAGGCCTATACTACAACTCCCAACTGTTTTTGATATCTGTTTTGCTAAACTGGTTTGAAAATGGGTTCAAATTGTTAGGAAAACTTCCCCAGTGTAGCTAGGCTAGACTGAAGCTGTACTGAACATTTTTCAGTCTGGTCTACTTGAGAACTTTAAACTGACTTCAGTACTGGTTCAGAAAGATCTGCAGCTTGAAAACTATTTTCAGCAACAGATGAATTTCCTAGTGTAGATAGGACCAGTGGTAAATGAGTCTCTGTCCCAGCCTCACAAAGACTGATTTTCTGTCGGCTTTTTACCAAATGACACTTGGTTAAGATACTTTCCTGAGCCGGACACCCACAGATATTGCTATTATGTGGTGTTTTTCCTTCCATCAGCTATCTCATTACATACATATGTATTCAGTTTGAATGTTGTCACAGAAGGGGAAGTTGACACCTTTTATGTAAAAGATTAACCATGTGGCATTATTGCAGTTCTGTTTGTACACTTAAATTCAGTCAGCTGTTCCAACTGAAACCCTTATTTTCAGCAGCCTAACCAACCCTTTCCCTACTTTCATAATAAAACCTAAAGGGCACGAAACTCTTCCCACTTTAGCTCAGCCCAAAGGTCAAAGCTTCATAAAATTCCATGCAGCCACTTTTAAGATCCTCTGATTAACAAAACAGTACCTTCCGTGCCTTTAATTACCTCTGTAGGTGTTGCCACAGGAGTCAGAAGTCCCCAGATTTAGTGCCCCATAAGGGGAGCTGCATTTGATCTACATGAAGAAATACAGTTTAGAAATAAATGTCTTAATGATTTCAAAATAGTGTAGTCTGTGGTGCATTTGGTTTATCTTGCTGAAATTAATACAGACTGTAAAGAGCTTGTTAAAGAACAAGATTTTTGGGTGAAATTTAGAAATATTCCTACCACCTTTAAATGCAGTGTGTGTTCCTCCAAATAGAGAGATACTTCTAGAGCTTGGGAGCACAATCATGAAATAAACACACTTATTTTTATTTAACATTCTAAGTGTTCCCAGTGTTGGTTACATCTCAGTGTCGGTTCTTAAAAAAATAGCCCAATTCATTGGGTAGTGTATTAATTTCAACCTATGGAGCAAAGGATTTGCGCACACACAGATCTGCACTCAGCACCTGTGATTCTAAATCTTTCTTCTGGCAAACTGTCAATAGATGTGCACACTAGCCTGAGACCTGGCAAAGAAACAAACCTGGTGAAAGGCTAATTCTTGCGTGCCATGAGATTGAGTCAGTGTGTTTTCCTGGTTTGTATTACTTGGTTCATGTTACTCACTGAAATCGCCCAATGCAAGATATTTTTTAAAAGAAAAAACAAAAACACTAACAGCATCCCACTGATGCTCCACGGAACTTGTTTACGTGATATGGGGGAGGAATGAGAGGGCGCTAAATGGGGTAGCAAAGTTGGGAATAGGGAACAACAGAGTGGTAACATTCTGCTCTGGATCGCTGCCACAGAGTTTCTCATCTCTCTGTCATTTGAGATTGCTTCAATAGCGCCTTTTTTGTTTTCCTGTACTGAAGAGGTAAGGAGCTCAGCAAGAGGAAAGCTTGGTCTATACTTAGGTCGACATAGTAAAAACCAGACTCCTGACCTACATAGTTATGCCAACCATAGTCCCAGTGCAGATGCAGCTTTGTTGATGCTTCCCGTGATGTAAGTATTTTTGTTCGGGGAGGCAGTGTTCCTGCACCAATGGGAAAAAACCTTCTGTTTGTATAGGCTGCATCTATGCTGCGGTGCTATGCTGGCATACCTAGGCCAATATATCCTCCATACCATAGTCACATCCAAGGTGTCAGAATGCTGCAGAGAGGTGGAATTTCAGGAAGCAAGAAATGAGCTGGCCATAGTTAGGCCATGTCTACACTACAGGCCCGATAGCGATGGAGCTACGGTGCCGCAGGTGTGCAGCTAAAGTGCCATAGTATAGATGGAAGGGTTTTTTCCATTGCTGTAAGTAATCTACTTCTCCAAGAGGTGGTAGTTAGGTCAACAGAAGAATTCTTGAGCCTCATCTACTCTGGGGATTAGGTCAGTTTAACTATGGTACTCAGGGTGTGAATTTTTCACACTGCTGAGGTATGTAGCTAGGTCCATCTGAGTATAGCCCATGTGTTAGTGTGAGACAGTTACGATTCCCTCAACGCAGCAGGTGCCAAAATGTATTGGTTCATGTCTCACCTTCTTAAAATGTTGTGAGGTGAATGGCTGGAGCATCAGCCTCGCGTACCACCAGTGGTACATGTACCACAATTTGGGACCCCCTGCCTAGAGCCTTCAGTTGCAAGGGAGAGGAATTGTCACCAGTGCTTCGCTCTCTGAGTCCTCAGATTCATTCAGTGTCCACTGACTAAATATCCTGTTTTTTTCACATCATGTTCTGGCTGAAGCCAGTGGGAGCACTTCTGAAAATCAGGCCCCAAAAGACTAACCTTCTTATAGTTGCTGTCCCCTAGAGAAAGAACTTAACAGTGAGTCTGAGTCTCTCTTATTCCAGCTCTGTCCACCCTCTAAGGAAAGTTTCTGCTGGTAAACAGGGATGTTTAATTTTAGTGTTGTGCAATGCAATCACTCCTGCAAAATGCCCGAAATTGCCAAATTAAACTGGCTGACAAAATACAGTCCTGTTCCAGTCGCTCCTGGTGCAGCATTATGGTTGTGTTTTCTCCCTGTCATTGAGCCCATGTAGCATATCCTTCCCCCCCTCCCACATCCCTTTGCATTAGTGGGAGATAGGTACATATGCTGAAAACTCTACAGACCTTTGTTATCGTCCAAAAGACCCTCATGTGTGTACATATATGCAGAGATCTAAGGGGAAATATGTACACATAATACGCATTCTTTTTGCGGATACAGACTAACACGGCTGCTACTCTGAAACCTAACATAATACGCATGTTCCTATGTAGAGACCTTTATACATTCTCAGAGGGTTGAAGCACCAAAAGATAATTTTATGTAAGAAATATTTTATCATGAAAATTGACTTTTTCTGAAGACTGTAAAAATAGTGGTAATATTGTCTAGGGCTTTGAACATGAACCTGGGAGTCAAACATCTCTCTAACTCTAAACTTAGTTCCACTAGAGACTTTCTATATGACCTCTCATGAATGGTGTGGAGAAAGTGAATAAGGAAGTGTTATTTACCCTTCCCATAACACACAAACCAGAGGTCATCCAGTGAAATTAATAGGCAGCAGGTTTAAAACTAGCATAAGGAAGTACTTCTTCACACAATGCACAGTCAGCCTATGGAACTCCTTGCCAGGGGATGCTGTAAAGGCCAAAAGTATAACTGAGTTCAAAAAAAGGATAAGCTTATGGAGGATAGGTTCATCAATGGCTATTAGCCAAGATGGTCAGGGACACAACCCGTGCTGTGGGTGTCTCTAAACCTCTAACTGCCAGACACTGGGCCTGGATGACATGGGATGGATCACTCTGTAATTGTCCTGTTCTGTTCATTCCCTCGGAAGCACCTGGCATTGGCCACTGTCAGAAGACAGGATACTGGGCTAGATGGGCCATTGGCCTGACCCAGTATGACCATTCTTCTGTTCTTACCTTGTGCACAGTCACCTCTTGGTGCCTCAGTATCCCCATCTGTAAAATAGGCATTACAGTACTAATCTTCTGGGCATGCTGCAACCCCTCCCTCATGTTTGGTTTGAAAATCTATTTAGTAAAAAAAAAAAAAAGCATTTTAAAAAAATCCGACAACAACATTCTCTCAATTTAATAACTTTCCCCACACTTCCCCCCCTCCCCCAACTGGAAATATTGTGGGGGGTGGTTGTTTAAAGGGAGGGTAACAACTTTATCTCACTTTACTTCCCCTGTACCCTCCATTCTCCAAATGAAGACTGTGGGTGGGGGAAATCCCCTAAATTTGAAATTAAACAAATTTTTGCGTAGAAATTTTGTCAAGTGGTTTAAAACAAAACAGGTAAAATGTTGATTACAATGAAAATGGTTTATTGTTTAAAAAAAAATCTTTCCTGCAGTAGGGAACCATGTTTTTCAGCTACCTCTAGTTGTAAGGCCTTTCTATACAGGACTTTAGGGAAGAGGATGAATTCCTCCCTAGTCTGTACATAACCTCCACTGGCATTATAGGAGGTATGCAGAGACATGAAGGGAATCTACCTTTGACCAGAATGACTCTCGCCTTTCTTCATGGTGTTCCACTTACACATATCAAGATGTCTTTGGTATGACTGTGGAGGTGATGGCAGTGTAAATTTATGTATGAGCGGAGGAGTTATTTCAGAAAAGTTCTGTGGGAGGCAAATTGTGTCAGAGTATAGAACATTATATGTGATTATATTATACCCTGCAAGGTCCGGGGAAGGTGGGGAAGGACAAAAAATGGAAGACATAATGGTGTGCCATAGACCTATGTAAAGTCTGGGGGTTGGTGGGGTGAATCCATGTCGAGGAGGTAACTGCCTCCTTTGCCCCATAGCAAATGACACCGCTGCCTGTGAGAAATGACCTGCAACCAGTTTATAACTCATGTTCCATTTCTTTTCAGACGTTTGCTGAAAAGTGAACTTGGATCCTTCATCACAGATTATTTCCAGGTAAGACGTGTTCCTTAACAGATAACTAAACGTTGCTCAGTTTTTTCTTTGTTTTAGTTTGCTCTTGAAAACTTTTTCATATGTAGAAAAATAAATAGAATCGCTTCTGACAAGCAGGTAGCCTGCATTCAGTGTTCTCTGCCATGCAGGTTCATGGACTCAAATACAGTATTTGGATTTTTTTTTAATAAGGGCTGCATAGTCTGATATTCAATAATATTTGTCGTTATACATGGTAAAATAAAAATGACCAGCTCCCATGCTTCAGTGTGTGATGTGATCGCCTGCTGCGATCAGGAAGGAAATGCCTCTCCTGAGCTCTCTAATAGAGAACTGGGTGCACTGATGTTTCTTTTTGCCTTGGGTTGGCAGTGGTCTCTAGTGGTTAGAGCACAGGACTGGCGGGCAGGGGTGGAGCAGGGGGCAGGAAAAAATGTAATCTACTCCCGGTTCTGTCAATAATTTGATGTATGGCCTTGAGTAAATCACTTCCCCTCTGTAAACTAGGGCTGATGCCCACCTTTTATAAAGTGCTTTGAGAACCCTTTGAGATAAGTGCAAAGCATGGACTAGATAAACTAATGTGATATGGGAATTCCTGTTTCCAATGCAGACGCTCAGTTTCTCAGAGCGTAACTTAACCCTCCCCCCCAAATATTTAGAAATAGTGGATGAAAGTTTCCTTCGCTAGAGGCGGGGGGGCGGGGGGAGGTGGAGGAACCTTACCCTAACCAACCCTATCAGCAGGAATTTAGTCTGATCACTATCTGGGGATCCCAGAAATGTAATTCCAGTTTGTGGTGGAGCAAAAATCTAAAGCCCGGAGAAGAGGTAATTAGTCACAAATGTGCATAAATGTAACAACCTTTAACTAATAATGTCATTTTCTGCGGTCAGACATAACCACATAAAAGTGTGTTTGAGATGAGTGCAGGGGCATGCTGATGGTTTCGGTACTGCAATCATTCAGTGGCGCTATTTAAAAAAGAGCAGGACTGCTGAGAACAACAGGGATTTCAGTGTTGGTTTTATTCTCTACCAGTAAAAGAGAAGAAAAAATTGCACCACTTCCTGAGGTGGCTGAAGTAGCTTGTGCACTGTGTCAGTAGTAAAAAAAATAACTGACTGGTGTTGTTTCCTTTCAGTATTAGATTGCATGACTTAAAAAAAAAAAAAGCGCTGTTGAGTGAAAAATAAACTCCCGTGTTGGGGGCAGCTGTGTTTCATCTCTTCAGACCCTATCTTCACAACCCTCTTTACTGGAAGGAGAAAACTTTTGCTTCACTTAATGGTAGGACATTTCCTAGAATGTGAGCCAAGAGTCTAGCAGCAGTGAGACAGTAATGCAGTGAGTCCATATTACAAAGAGTTTGGTCTGAGTGGAAATCCACTATTACTGTAACTGGCTTTGGGTTTTTTGTTTTTTGTTTTTAATATTGCAAACCATTATATTTGTTTAGATTTGTGAAGGACTCCAGAAGGGCCTATGCAGGTGGTCAGATATTATGGACAGGCCTGATATAAAAACTTCAACACAAGAGAAAACGTACACTTGAGGTACGTCTACACTGTGATAAAAGATCTGAGTTATGGCCATGGCTGGCCCAAGTGAGATGGCTTGGGCTCGGAGGGCTATAAAATTGAACGGTTGGTGTTGGGGTGTGGGCTGGAGCCCAGGCTGTGAGAACCTGTGGTCCCACCCAACCTGTACACTGCAATTTTATAGGCCCACAGCCTGAGCCCCCTGAATCAGCTAACCTGGGCTCGGAGACTCAGTGCTGCAGGTTTTTTATCACAGTGTGGACAAGTGTGAAGCAATGCATGCTAGAAGGAACAATATAAAGTGCTAGTATATAAGCACTGATTGGCTCTTAATGTTCTATGTCCTGGACTATACTGAAAGAAGCAAGTTTTGTTTTTTAACTTTGAATAAGATGTGCTTACATTATGCAAGCCAATCAGAAAAGTCCTGGAGGACTCGATGGCTAGAGGCATGGGTCATAGGTTCAAACGCTGTCTAGGCCAAATGGATACCTGTGACATTAATTGATGCTTGCTCGACCTCTCCGCAGTACAGTCAATGATAGAATAGGCCATATAGACTAAAATCCCCTCTCATCCTTATTGACTGGGCCTCCAGTTCAGGGCCAAGTCATATTAGTAAGTGGAACCTTGCCTTGTTTTGTGGATAATATGGGGATTCTTTCACCAAGGTTGTCAATCAGTAACACTGGAACTCAGATAGAATTGTAAAATATATCACTTTGATAGAACAGCAGAGTAATGATATTATTCTATTATTGCCCTCTAAGTCCACAATCAGGATTGGGATCCATATATGCTCAGCACTGTACAAATACAGAAGACATGATGGTCCATACCCCAAAGAGCTGGCAGTGCAAGGGCTAGTCTACACTTGAGTTAATTTTAGGTTGTTGGGAAGGGGACGGGAGTTGCACTGGTATAACTACATTCATGCAGCGTCACCAGTCCTAACACGATGAATGTTTTGCCATTGAAGTCAACAGGGCCAGAATTTTACCTCTAGTATAGTCAAGTGCTAAAAATGTGACTTGCCCCAGTCTGGCTCACACTGATGCAAAAAAGCTTCAGTGCAGGCATTCCATAAGAGGATAAGCAATATGAGATGTAGACTAAAGAAGGAAGCAATTTATCTTCCCCTGGTGTATTTGTGAAAGTAGACTTACAGTGAACATCATTGACTATAAAAAGTTGACATCCCTTTCCATGGATCTCAAGGCAGTAGAATGGGGCAGTCTGTGTGTTACTAACCAAACTATCTTGTTGGTATTTCTCTATCCGAGAAGAACTCTTTTCTCATTAGGTTCTCTAAAATTCTCTTTTTTTGTTTTCCACCTTCCTTTGCCTGGGTCACTTACTGGTTTAAACTAGAGTAAATGGTGGATTCTCTGTAACTTGAAGCATTTAAATTAAGATTTGAGGACCTCAGTAACTCAGCTGGAAGTTATTGGCCTGTTACAGGAGGGGGTGTGAGATTCTGTGGCCTGTGATGTGCAGGAGGTCAGACTAGATGATCATGATGGTCCTTCTGGCCTTAACGTCTATGAGTTTAAAATGTACAACCTGCCCTTCTCTGTCCCAAAGATAGATCTGTTTTCCCCTCAAGATGATGTGCACAATACTCTAGTGGCAAGTAGGACAATTACCTGAATCTTCCAAAGTTTGAAAATTATAAAGTGCCTTCAACATTTTTCGTCCTGTTACATTAAAGAGTACACTACACTATTAGTAAGTGCTAAGATAATTGTCAAATCATATTTTCCATAGTTTGAGTGCTGGCTCTTACATTATTTTTTAAAGAATTGTTTCAACCATTGAAGGTTAAGAACTTTTCCATGGAACATAGTTCAGATGCTAAGACAAAGCTAACTTTGTGAGTCACTTGAATTGGTTGCTCAGAAGTAATTTTCACCAACACTCATGGAAATTTCCAGTTCTTACACTTCATGGAATGGAATGAGCTAGTAGTTATCTTCATATTTCTTAGATTGTCCTAATGAAGTCTAGGGAGACTTTATCTTCAAAATCTCCATGGCCCCAGTGTTATCAAGTCTGTCTTGTAGTTAAACCAAACCATACTATAACAGACTAATGCACCCACTCATATAAAGATCTCAGTGGAAATTCAAATGTTTGATTCTGAAGGAGGTTTGTGTTACTAATCTGCTGCCTTAGTAACTTTAGAGGAGATATAAGCCATGTTACTGAAAGTGACTTTTGAGCTTTTAAAGACCAAATAACCAGCGCCCAGTATATTCTGCCACTTCTGATTTTCTGCAGGATCTACCCTGTGCTGAATGTTTCTGAATCCACATTTTCAGTTATAATCTTGCTAGCCCTCATGGATGTGAAGAAAGCCTTTAAAAATGTAAACCTATTGAAGATTGACATATTCCTCTACCTCGATATAACGCTGTCCTTGGGAGCCCAAAAATCTTACCATGTTATAGGCGAAACTACGTTATATCGAACTTGGTTTGATCCGCCCCCCTGGAGCACTGCTTTACCGCGTTATATCCGAATTCGTGTTATATCGGGTCGCGTTATATCGGGGTAGAGGTATATTGATACATTATGTACCTGAGTCTGCAGGCAGCCTGAAATGATAGCTTTGGCTGGGGTGAATTGCTCCTTCTCACATCCCAGTGGGTTGCTAACTCTCAAATCCAGAGGTGGAAAATGTAAATGTTAAGTATTTAACTGCTGACCGTTTTAGCCAAAATACCCAGCTAATGTGCTTACCCCAAACTGAGTCCTTCTGAGGTGTGGAAACCCCAGCTGTTCCTTGCCCAGCTGCCAAAACCTCCAGCTTCCTCCAACATCTACATGCAGTACAAAACTGTGGTACTGAAAGCACAGAGACAACATAAAATATATTGACTTTGATATCAAAATCAGTAATAGGATTCTGTACTGATTGAATTCTTATATTTAATTTAATCAAAACCTCAATTTCTTAAAATTGAAATGAAGCTGCTGCTGAATTGTCAAGCCTGTGGCAGCAGAGGGTTGCAGAATCCAGAGACCTTGACCCAGGTTTAGGTCCAGTTTGCTGAGGCATATACAGAGCTTTGCAAATAACCAATAGATGGAATAGCTAAATCCCCATTAGGGTGTCCAGATTTTCAAAGAAAATAGACAAATTCATGCTAGAGCTGTGCTTAAAAAAAATCACGTCTCTTCCTCTATCCCACCCAGTTCTTGAAAGAAGAAGATTTTAGCCCGAATGTTCTGTAGCTCAAATCTGCTTTTTCACCTGCTGATGGCCATGACCCCTCTATCCTACGCCCAGCCTATTGGGTTAAAACTGCATAAGGCTGAAGGCTTGAGGAGCCGAGCCAGAGGACTAATAAAATTTCCCCTGCACCTGGCACTTTCCCCTGCTGGGCTCTTAGGGGGACAGCTCCACCAGAGACTCCTTAATATTGGTCCAGCCCTCTGAACTTGGAGGGGCTTAA